TTCCAGGTTTCTAATGGTGGTAGTCTAACAACGATTGATTGATTGATGATTTCAAATGTGTAAAAACACTAATACCCATAACTCTAATTGAAAAAATGACATCATTTTTAGTACTTGACATCAACATGATTTTTTAGAAAAGTACGAATAGATTTTCAAGTAATCTTATTTCATTTCATCGAAACCGTCGCTAGTACTTATATTATGATGTCACCTAGCAAACAATGATATGATTAAAGGTTTATTTGACTAGCTTTCATTAAATGAAGCAACCTGAACACATTTTTGTATACCTTAAGAGTACCCTGCCCCTATAAACAATCCCGCCATAGATTCGACAATATTCCAGAAAACATCTAATGAAGAATAGATTATAAAATCTGAAGAGAGCTAAAAAGTTACAAAGTGATATTCTGATCCATGTCAACAGATGCGGACTTCTTGACTGATATCAATGTACCAGTAACAGTTGTTATTGGGAATTTAAGATGCGAATGTTGGATGATATGTTCAATTTTGAATTAACATGATTTTACACTGTTTGTTTAAAACTTTGTTAGCTTCTTGACTGGAGCATGTGTAGTGATAGTAGTGTAGTGAAGGAGAACACAGGTGAGGGCAACCGAATTGTATTTAACGAAAATTACAGAGTTACTCAGTAAAATAGGAAAACCATATCGTAAACCGTTGTTAATTTGCAAATCTTCAATCCATCATCAATCCCTTGTTTGACATTTCACTTATTCATGCGTTTCATACAAATTCCATTGTATTCTAACTCTTCCTTTCTTGATCTTCCCCCATCTTCTTCTGCCAGACATTACGTTGACACTCACGTTATATACTACTTATAAGTACCTAACACCACAGTAGTAGTAGTATGGTGAAATGTCAGACAATGGATTGATGTTTGCTACAGGAACAGTCCAGTTCGATATGATGGATTGATATTTTGCAAATGAACTAACGATTTACGATATGGTTTTCCGATTTTACTGAGTAACTCTGAACTGAACATTGTAACGTTGAATAATATGCTCAATTTTCAATTATAGCTAACATTATTTCACACTGTTTACTTAGAACTTTGTTAATTTCCTATTTCAATATACTGAGTTAATTCGTTTATATTGGTGACCAAGTCGAAATTGACTACGATCACCACTAAATATTCCAAACTGTCCCGTCACGCAATATAGAAATAAATCCATGTTTGAAAATTTATTTGAAGAAGAAAGTAGGGCGTTAAATAGAGAGGAGCAGTAAGTTATGAAAAATGGCAGCAACGTGAAAAGAACATTACGCTCAAGAAAGCGTTTTTTTGAGTACAGTTAAACAAAACGAATACAATAATAAATGTTTATTTTTCACCAGTTGAGTTTTCTTCGCAAAAGTGTTCCACCACTATACGTTAAACGCACTAAGACTGAATAGTACGTATAAGTATAAAGTCATACGTCAGAATTAGTAATGTGGTGCGCGCTACTTATAAGTAGTATATGACGTGAGTGTAAACGTAATGTCTGGCAGCAGAAGATGGGGGAAGATCAAGAAAGAAAGGAAGAGTGGGAGGGAACACAATGGAATTTGTATGAAACGCATGAATAGTGAGTGACAATGGATTGATGATGTTTTGCAACAGGAACAGTCCAGTTCGATATGATGGACTGATACTTTGCAAATGAACAATTTACGATATGGTTTTCCTATTTTACTGAGTAACTCTGTAATTTTCATTTATTGCAATTCGGTTGCCCTCACCTGTGTTCTCCTTCACTACAGTTCCACCATTACACGTTAAACGCACTAAGATTGAATAATACGTATAAGTGAAAAGTCAGACGTCAGCATTAGTAATAGCTAGATGTAATGTAATTTAAGTATAAATAAATCTAACTTTTCTGCACTTACACAATTGTATAATCTCATAGACTAGTGAAAAAAAAAACATATTTCTTCTGTCTTAAATAATAAATCAAGTAAAACAATTTTTTATTTCTCTTCCCAAAAATTTAAATTAAATCATTTTAAATATAGTGAAGAATTAGATGCTTCTTTTCACAATCAATAACATATCCACACACACAAATAAAAAATTAATCCTTCAAAGTTTTAAGCATGATAGAAAGAATGACAAAAACTTATAAGAAAATTTAAATTTTAATTCAATTAAATACATGTAGATTGGAAAAACTATTTTAGCCTTACAACTAACTTGTCAGCTTTGTTAGTTAGTTAGTTAGTTAGTTAGTGATGAAGTAGTTTACTACCCTAAGCAACAATGCAAGCATGTTTGGGATGCGGTTCTCACCCTCGAAATGCAAAATGTTGCTTCAAGACTGGGTTGCATCGGCACCTGAACTAGTGATAGGGAGTGAAGTAGTCGGGCGTGTTGACCACTTCACTTATCTTGGGAGTCTCATCAGTGCTGATGGCCTGGTGACTGACGAAATCTCAGCAAGGATACAGAAGGCTCGGCTGGCTTTCGCCAAATTGCGTCACTTATGGCGTAGACGAGATATCCGTTTGATGACTAAAGGACGAGTGTACTGCGCAGTAGTTTGCTCTTTCTTACTTTATGGCTGAAAAAAAAAAAAAATGAGAGTAGAAGATATTCGTAGGTTACTGGTTTTCGATCATAGGTATCTTCGAAGCATTGCTCGTATATCGTGGGACATCCGAGTGTGCAACGCTGTTATTAGGAATCGTGTGCTAGGTAAGAGTGGCAGATCAATAGATGAAGTATTGAAACTTCATCAGTTGAGGTGGTTGTTGGGTCATGTGTTACGTATGCCTCTAACCACCGACTGACTAGTTGAGCTATGTTTTTGCGGTGTAGGAATAGGTTGGAGGAAAGCTATGGGCGCCAAAACAAAGCATGGCACAAATCCATGAAGTCATTGACGAGTGGACTTATCCATTTCGGTAATTGTCGACTGCCTGATTGTTGTTCCCGAGATAATAATAATCGTTTGTTAGAGACCTTGAACGACATGGCTGAAAATCATTTGCAATGGCGCCGGTGCATTTATTCTCTGTGTAATCTCCCAAATCCTAATCTTTTGGATTCGTCTACACCTCTAGTTTTAACTTTCTAAACTTTTCTCACTGAATCATACTTCTTGAATAATATCTTCTAATCCTAACCTCTCCGATTACCTCTAATACATTTACTACCTCTACTACTACTATTTGATTTGAACTGACAATTACATCTCTGTGCTGATGTGGTATGGCGACATGAACTGATGTACGTACTTACGTACGAAGTTCTACGTTGCATCTGACTGACTGACTTACTGATGAAGTAGTTTCTTGTTTTATTAACTATACATGTTGTGAAATAATTTTTCCATTACAAGTAATACAAATTAGTTGTTGTACATTGATATGTAAGTTGTTTGAAGTTGAATGTGTATAACATTGTGTGTGTGTGTGTACACTGACTCATTGATCTAGAGAGACTAAAGGGTTAGTGTTTGGTAGTCAAAATATGTGAGAGTAATTTTAAACAGTTAGCTGAGAGGCTAAGGAATGTACAGTTTTTTTATTTGCTTGTTGGTTTCCTACCTAATCTCAATTTTATGATATTGTATTAGTTTGGTAGTCTTGTCTAATTCTACTAATTTGACAAATATATCATTCAGAAAACCGTAATCAACTCTCTGCCTTACTTCTTTTGACAAAATGTGACTTGACAGTGCCTGAGCTATTAAGAACTACTTAGTTCTCTCGAAAAATAATAGTTTTTTTAATCAGATTAATGACTATGTGGTAATAAGCCTGTAATGCTTCATATAACTCAATTTAAGCAGACAAGTACCATTATAAAACCGTATACCATAAAGTTTGACTTGAAACTGCGAACATAAACATGCACTCGGTAAATGAAAACGAGAATAATCATGATGTAGGGAATCGTATTTTACGTCTATTGTTCTAATCCTATACTATATACTAGCTGAAGCAATATGGTAAGCACCCTTTCCTGTTGTTAAATTTTTAAACATAATCCCAGTAACCTTTTTCTATGCATTCAATCGACGAAGTGCTATACAAATAAGAACGTCCTAGAGGTAAATGTATTTATACTTGCAGTTGGTTTCTTGTTTAACTCAAAACAAAGCTGAATTCTCGACAGTAAATCATTCTATTTATACGACAGCAACCGATATTATCAGTCCGTTGAAACTGAATGAGGCACAGCAAACTTTGAAAGTATGACCTTTCAGTTGAATACTGAGTGCTTTATTCACCAAGATAATAGTTTGTAATACTCGCTACCTGTGAATTATTTCCGCTTAAGTGATTTATCAACTGCCTGCGAGTTTATTGAAAGTGGGGAAAATTTATGGAAAAAGGCTTTCTTATTACTGATAAAGTATAATTCTAAACATTTACGAAGTTAATAGGCCAGAGTGGATATGATACGCAACAATATATAGGAATAGAGAAAAGATTTTCATGAATTCATATTGGTCTAAGTTCTCATATCATTGTGTGAGGAAATCAGTCGAAATAAAACCAAAAATATGAATTAGTAGAGCTGGTATAGACATCACAGTCTGCATAGAAACGAAGTAAACTTAAATGATAGGAACTATGAAACAATGACAAAGTTTTATAAGTGAAATAGTGTATTTGAACCATAGATTACTGTCATTTGATATCTTTACCCATAAATGAGAATGAATATCAAGATGACAGCCAGAATAAATAACGAAAAATAAGTCATTCGTGAAGTCTGGAATATCTTCTGGTTATTATCTGTTAAAATATTAGTTTGAGTGGACTAAAATTTTCAAAAATAGTCGATTCTCAAACGCTGTTATGAAAAAAACATAAGAACACACAACCCACAAACTCATCAAAATACTCAAGGAAACGATTAATGTTGAATAAGTTAATCAGATGAAATGATGTTCATTAACAAAACATTTTACTATGAAGAAATTCAAACGTACACTTGATAGAAATTCGAAAAACATACGAAGACTTACTCTTAAATCACAAGCTGCATTCAATAAGATGTTGCATGGTTTAAGATCTCTATGAAGAACATTAGCAGAATGTATGTACTTGAGACCTGAAAATTAGTCATGAATGAATGATATAAAGTTACCTCTGAGCATTTGATATATAAAGTAGCAAATATGATCATTGCTCAATTTCTGGGTCTTCAATAAACGACAGAGGTCAGTTTCCATGAAACATTCAACAATGTAACTTGAAAAAAAAAACATAGAATTAGTTAGTATTATGAACTTACATATCTTTCATTTCTTCAAATGTACTTGACGTGATTATATCATGAATTTTTACGATCTGTAAATTTTTTTGTAAAAGACTATAAACTTTCTAATGACAAACATTCTCATGATCCATTCTACTTAGTATCCAGATTTCTCTGTATGTTCTTTGACTGTAAGTTTGGTGTTCAAACGGAGAGATTTTCTTAAGAGCTACTTTTTCATTACGTTGACGATCGAATGCCGATCTTAATTATAGCTCATAAAACAACTCAACGTACACAACAATTCCATATGCACCTTCTCCAACATACTGAACATTGTCAAACCTTGGTCCCAACTCAAATATTTGTCCTTTCACTGTTGGTGTTGGTGATTTAGACATTACAACGAGGTAAATTATCAGAAATTTTGGTTTGTTATTATCCAAGATAGATAATAAAAATGTATAAATGCTTCAAGAAGACCTTGTAAGGGTTATCACGACTAGCCAGGAACATATATCACGAATCGCCCTACCATTTGCGAAAACGATATACATATTTGAACAGACGCGATAAAATCAAGGTTGGGTAGTCCAATCCCAGATATCTTGTGATGAGTAAGTATAGACCACTTAGTTTCAATGCTATCTACCTTTTGTGTTACGCATGATAACGGTTATCTAATAGCATCAAATAAGCCAAACATTTAACGCTTAAGTGAGTTCAAGGAATACCACATGCACTCTAGGTTCTCTATCCCGAACTTCAATATTAGATATCTTTTTCACCAGATTGTGTAAACAGATTGATTTATTCGCGCTCAGCTCTTTTTGATTCCCTTACGGTTACAGATGTTTGGTAGTGTTCAATGGATGGTAGTCTAGTAACTCTACTGCACTCATTTTTATCAGTTCTCAGTTATTTATGAAGTTGAATATCTTGTAATTTCGGCTAGTGCGTTTTTCTCCGTGCAGTAGAGTTTCTGGATGCCAACACCTATCCAATATATCCAATATCTTTTTCACAAGTTAGTATAAACCAACTGATTTCTTTGCGCTGGATTCTTGTTCCTTCGATACGGTTCTAGGTCTTTAATTACCTGGTCGGAGACAAGTTAGTTGCAATATAGAAAATAATGCGGAGAAAATTCTTACGCCAAAGTGGAGATTCCAAAACCAAGTACATAAATGAATAAATTAGTTAATAAATTGGTAGTGAAGATTGTTTGGTGACAGAAATGTAAGCAGTGGAGAGAAAACAAAGATAATAAGCGAGATAGATAAAGCTAGTGATCTGAGAAACACGCATCAGATACAGATGATTCAAGAGGGAAACACTGATCCGTTGGTGAGAAAATATTTATCAAGTCTCCTAAAAGTGTGACCGTGCTCACGTTTCAGAGAGAGTCAGCAACAGTTGTAATGTGATTTTACCAAGTTGCTTCGGGACTAATACTCATGTAGTTTCAAGTAGTGCCTAAGCTCTCTGTAGTCATTAGACCGACATTTCACTCTGAGGATGCAATAGGAAACAGATGTCATTTGAGGGAATAATTTTTTTGCATCACAAGAGGCAGAATGTTTATGACGTGGTGCTTTGACTTATTAGGTTTAACCTGTTGTCTACCGCTCAGTGACTCATTATTACTAAGTCCATTTGAAGCTCAGTTAAATACTCTTAGCTGTTTATGGACCTCCAGATCTTTGCGCTGTATGCTATGATTAGTGCTGATTAACTTATTTTATCTGACAAGTCATTAATAAATATCAGGAGGAGGAGTGAACCTAAGATTATCTCATGTGAACGGGACTTGGCAGTCCACATAAACTCTATTCACCTTATAACGAACAGTTGCTCTTAAGGTAGTTTCTGAGCCTATCTTCGTAACCTATGGTTTACGGAGTACGTGGAATACCATGCTTAAAGCTTCCGCGAAGTCAAAAATATAACTTATATAGGTACTTACCTGTCTCAGTAGGTTGTCTGGCTGCCCCATGCTATAAAAACATTACATACAAATGACTTGCATTTCATGGAGGATCTTGTTCTAGTCAATATACTCCCTTACTTGCTCATACACCAGTCCTTCATTATCTTTGATAGAAATGGCAGTAATGAGACTGGTGTTTAGCAAGCTAAGTCTTTCCCATCTACTTGTTTGAAGGCTGGAGAGGGTTGCTTATTCCCGATATACTGGAAGTTATTGTGACTCCAAAAATGCCTTAACGAGTCATATACCGGTGTACTGTTTCAAGATAATAGGGCGAATTTAGGCACACCCTGATAGCTTCCTAAGGATCAGAGACTTTACTGTTCTTAGTACTAATCCGAAAGTAAGTCGAATATTCCTTCAGCTATCAGTTGGTAATTGGTTTGAGCAGTACTCTGAACTTGCAGGTACTTAGTTTAACTGATTGGTGAAGTTGGTGTTAAAGATCTCAGAGATTTCCAGGCTGGTAAGATCCTCGCCATTCGGAGCTTTGTGGGGCCCAAATACCCAGGTTTGTTGGTTTTCTTTTAGTCATGAACCTAAAAGGATGTTCTGGTTGTGCCGGTATTTTTGCTGCTAGCCTCGATTAGAAGTGTCTCCTATTGCTTACAACCCTGGCATTACATCCGTTAATGAGACTTACCACTTGTGCCAAGCTCTCCTTTTCGCTTGTAGCAAGCGCTCAGTGCATAGCTTAACCCATGCTCTCCCTTTTCTATCTGTGATCTGCCTGAGATACGTTGTGTAGGACAGCAAATAAAGTGATACCTCTCATCGTTTGACAGTGGACATTTAGTGTTAGTATCCACCATTCTCGTGGTCATGAAGCAAGTAGAAGATGCTCTTCCGTGATTGTAAAGTTTGTCCTGGTGTAGCAAAGATAGAACTCGATTTCTTCCCTTCTGAGTATTTCACACTTAACTATGTTAAATATGACCACGCCATCGTTACTACTCCCTATTGTTTGTATGGACGGACATCCTCGACCACAAGCTAATCAGTTGTTACGAAATAATCCTAGTTTCAGGGCTCTCCATCCTGAGTTCATCTAGTGTTGCATACATGCTCAGTCAGAGCAGAACTTTCAGTAGCTGTGAAAAGTCGCTTTCGGAAACAATCTTTGAGAAGCGTACCCTGCTTTCTAAGATATAAGGTCGCAGTGTTGAAATCTCCAGCTATGATTGTTTTTTCAAACTAGCAATGCATTTTGCGATGTTGCTTCATTCGACCTAACTTTATGGGCCTTAGTGCTTGAGGGTGACGGGTAAATCCCTGAAATCAAGTGGTTTGTGTCATTCATGTTGAAGCGAGACCAGCATGATTTTGCCAAGTAGTTGGGCGCTATGTAGTGTTTCGGCCTTGAAATAGCAGTTAATATATATATATCCTTTCCGCCTACTGTCTCGTGTACCCTATCGCATCAGAAGGATGTCGGGTCTTGCAACCTCACCTCATCGCCAGCTCTGTCATAAGAAAGCTATGTTTCAATTAAGGGCGTCATCTTGAGAATTTAGTTGCCGTTGCTGTGAGAAGACCTATGCCGCATGATAACCAAGGCCATTTTAGCACATCATGAGCATGAACTTCATTGAAGCTACCACCAGCTAGCTCAGGCACTTCGTGAACCATGGTGGTTCACGATGGTTTGTTCTTGGGTGTCTGCTGATGTACCCATAATAGCTCCTCCTGACCATCGATGTGCTATTTCTGAACTAGATGCTGTGTCATTTGGGTTTCAGGAAATTTTTTCAGCCTAACTCTTTTTAGCCTACTTTTTTTACCGAGGGGTAGAAATATGAGATGGAGTGTCATCCTAGTTTCTTTGTTTGAGACCTGTGGATGTGTCTGGAATTATACACACTACTCCAAGGTTCATTATCGAGTTACATTTTGAGCTTCTTAACAATTCTGCTGCTGAAAACTGGCACTTATAACTCACTAATAACCACGTAATTCTAACCTCGACTGATTTCTCTAGTTGTTATAGGAAAAACTGGAAGATTGATGAGTAAATGTGGACATTTTCTTGAGAGTGTAAATGAATTTCATAACAATGTATGTCAGTCTGGTGGCTGACATCCTGTTATTTTTTGAAAGTTAATGCGGCCATCATTGTAGCTGAGAAAAATGCGGCTTTGTTATGAATATTTGCTCAAAAATAGATCCAATCCTAACAGTGAAAAAATAGAACGCACTGGGAACAATCTTCAACCGCTTTCAACGATCGAATACTCATTCATGCGAAAACTACAGACTAAAGAGGGCTAATTAACGACCACTTCTTCCTGCGAGTGCTCAATATATGGAATCCTCGCACCGAGAATAAGTTCGCAAGGCTGTGAAAACAGGAAACTGGCCGATGATTACAGATGTAAGTGCAAACAAGCTGGTCGTACCAATATCGACAAATTCCGCCTGTAGACCCTTCGGGGTTACTGGCAGTCCCAAGCCCGGATAAAGGAGGAGGGTTAGGCATGGGGTTGGTGACCATCCCACCAAAAAGCTAACTCGCTAAAAAAACGCTAACCAGAACAAATAATTCAAACAACTTTAACTCTGCCCTAGGAGTCGGAAGAAGAATTATGACGTCTCGTGGTAAAACTGAGTTCCCTCGGAAGTCGTTAGGCTGATGCTTCTTCTGACAACCAAAGTGACAATGCTTTTAGGTACATGGATCGTTCGAACATTGTGGAAGACTGTAAGACTATTTTAAGTTATAGCAGAAATGAAAAGATACAACCTGTAGGTGCTTGGAATCAGCGGACCGCACTGGACGCTGATCGGACAAATGACACTAGCTTCAGGGGAACTGGTGTAATTCTTTGGCCATGAAGAGGAAAATGCTTCATATACACAAGGAGTTGCAAACATGCTGTCTAAACAACCTCAAAAGCCAATGTATTCTTAGATTTCGTAATTTACTCGTTCACAGAATCGTTACTAAATAACGCCTTTCGGTTTATAAATCAGAAGGGAAACACGGAGGGTTGGAAACGTTAATTCTCGCACACCACAATTATAATAGCTGACCACAGGTGTGTAATTGATATGTGAGTGCCAAAAGGCAAGCAAGCAAGCGAATTAGCGGATGAGCGAATCGGCGAATGAAGTGAAGTGAAGAAGGCTAGTGAGTTAACTCAACTAGATAAAACATGACTAAGAATTTATAGTTAGACAAAATTAAGACAGATATGGGACAAGCGAGATAGGCATGCGCCCGCATGAATAAAAGCGACAAATGATTGATGAGGTCAAAAGACAAGTGGGATGAGTTATGTGAGCTCGACATTGAAAGACTCACAACAATAGAATGGGAATATCATGGACCCAAAATCATGAAAGCATCCTTAGAAACAAAGAAAGAAGACATTACAATGAACGTCATCCAATGCTATGCACCTACTAATGAGTACAATAAAGACGTTAAAGATCAATTTTAAGAGAGGCCGCAGTCAGTCGTCGACAGATGCTCATCAAAGGATATGACGATTCTAATGGGAGACCCAAATGCCAAAGTTGGCATGGACAACGGTGGATATAAAAACATCATGGGACGACATGGACTGGGAGAAACAGACGAAAACGGTGAGTGATTTACAAACCTATGTGCCTTCAACAAACTGGTCATCGGCGGGAC